TTAATTTTTTCTTCATAATAAGCAGTTGAAAAAGACGAAATGATGAAAAATATAACTAATTTTACTTTTGACATAAAAACAATAAATTAAAAGTTCCTAAAAAAATTCATTCTTATCACCTTCGATCTTCGACCAAATTAGGTTTAAACTGAGGAAAAAACAAAGAAAGAGTTTTAAAAAATGGCTAGTTTTATAATAGTAAATAGTGACACCAAAATATAAATAAAGATAACATTGGTAGATTTTTAAAAAAAGAATAATTTATTGTAAATAATATAATTTTTGTGCTGTGTTATGTTATGTATGTTTAGTGTTATTATTGTGTCATAAAAGCTTTCAAAACAGTAGATTTATGTATGACCCAAAAATATATACCGGTTGTAGCTATACAGGGTGCGCCAGAACTCGCGCCCCAGAGAAAAATAAGATAAACTACCAGGAACATGAAAAAAAATGTTTACAAATTTCTATCGTCAAAATATTTTGACATTTAAATTTTGACATTTGACTTTTTTATGTCAATTTAATGATACTAATGATCTTGCCAACAAAAGCCACAAATAACATTAAACAGAGTTACAATTTAGAATATAGCTTCCTTTTTTTCCTCTTCTAATAGCCTGTAGCAAAAAAACTTGGAAAATTATTTTTCCAACAGAAATGAATAGAGTCAAAGTGCGAAATTTAAACTCTCATAACTTCGGAAATTATAGATAATTTTTTTAAACAATTTTTCCATGTACTTACCTAGTATCTTACCTTATATGGCATTTTTCTCTGGGGCGCGAGTTCTGGCACACCCTGTATAACTATATAATCTGACGATATACTTTTAGTTTTGAAATAATTCTTAATAAACCAGCTTAAAACGGAATATCAGATTTAATGACGAATAATTGATCAAATAATTTTGTCATGTGCTACTAAATTTTAAGTGATTTTTGTTGTAAAAACAACGAAGTTTTGCGTGAATGCGTCAAAGTCGGATTGGTTTTGCTGTAGCTAAACATGAAACATAAACCAGAGCTTACACACATTATGAATTGTGTAGCTTTTGGAAGGTATTTCTTTAGCGTGGTTTTTGTTTTTGATTTAGTTAATAATAAATTTGGTAGTGAATTGGCCTGTGTATTGTGCAAAATTGGTTCTATTTTGATGTGTGTAAACGCAACATGGCGCGGAATTTATGTGTGGTGTGTGTGCTGTTTTGTTAAAAATAAATGGGAAAGCGTAAGTGCGTTTAGTTAAAAAAACCAATTGAATTGTTTCCGAGTCCTATTGGTTTTTACCGGATATGGTAAAACCGAATCGAGGCAAATCTGAGTGTGGAGGGCTTTCCAAGATAAGTTTTAAAATCCGTAATTAAGGAATGCTTTAAAGCGGAGTGTATCAGCCTCTTAGCGCGAGGCATTCTTAGTTTGAAGGCCTAGCAAGGCACATTTCCGCCAGTAAAAGCGTAGTTTATGATGACGCGTTATCGTGTTCTTCTGCACAGGTCCGGACTTATGTCGCCCCGGAGATTAAGCCCCTCGCTCGAATCCATTACGAGTGGATGTTAGACGTTATTATTATTTGCTACATATTAATTTACACAAAGATGCCGGAGATGAATACCATAAAGCGTAAAAACAACACTATAAAGGTTGAAGAGATCTAATATCGGCTCTTACACCCGTTTTGAAAATGCACGCATAAAATATCCTGATATTTTTGTCGCTGATAACATAGAAAGAGGATTGCTAGTTTGGCGCATTGTTATTCATGCGATTAATGCGGAGGGCTGCAAAAACTTCCACTGAAATTATTGCAACTGTGTTAGGCTAATTAAACGCGTGATGTTTCAAGTTGTGCGACCGTGAATGCGGCCTAACATTCAATTTTAAGAAGGGGTGGATTTTGGTGCTGTTTCGAGTGTTCATTAATTTATACAGACCACACATATTCACCCTCGCTTACTAAAATGCCCGAGTCTATACTCAAGTATGGGCTAGATATAGATATCAGCTTGACATCGGTTGACCTCCCGAGGGTCACAAATACGCCATTCAGACAAAATATAATCATACCGTAGAAGGTTCGAGATATTACTGCCCCTATAACATGATACAAATATTCCGCTTTCAAATATGGGACACAATCACCACAAATCAAAAAGATTCACATTTTTGACCAAGTGTACCAAATTTGGTGGAGATGCCGGGGTAAAATTTTGTAAACTTAATTTAAATATGTAACACTTTTATTTTAACAATAAACATTTCACAAAATATAAAAAAAACACGCAAAACAATGTATGCAAATACTAATTTAAAAAATATTTTAATGAGACTAAAATAACTTATATAAAATAACTGTATTCTGATAGGTCAAATCGTACAATTTGTCAAATTATTAATAGTAGTTAGTAAAATTTTTAGAAACTTAACATTGCTTTGTAGATATGTCTCTGGTAAGAAATTGTATTTGGCGGTTTGTAGTTTCTATTGTGTTTCAATTTTTGGAATTTGTGTAAGGATAAAAATGCAGAAAGAAGATTTCATTGTTTTGAAAGGAGTTTAAGCGTGAATTGTAGAGAACGTCAGTTTCCCGAGCGTTTGAAGTATTATTAATTCTAGAGGCCTCACACATACACTGTTGGTTTAGAAAATGCTATAGTCTCATTCGATAGCATTTATGCTCTAGTTAAATATGGTCTAAATGCCAAGCTGATACTGATTGATATTTATACATGCGGTTTTATCCTTTTTCGTGTTGGAGAGGGGAAGCACGCAAAAAATTGTGGATTAAATCAGATGCGATATTGTTTTTGAATGAAATTACGCAATTTGAACCGGTGGGTATTGGGCAATAATGCTTCTGTTTAATCCCACTTGTAATAGAATTGGCTGTTTAAAACACTCTGTCTACGTACTAAATACGAAACTGGTCAAGTTGAATTTAATAATGTTTTTAATTAATGTTTTACATTAGGTAATAAAACCATTTATTCGTTGTTTTACAATTTTATTTTGTAAGTGACGCTGAATTTGGGTGGACGAGCCAGGAGTGATTTTTTCGTTACCCAAACACTTGTACAATGCATTTTGAGCTTAGAAATGAAGTTTGATTTATTTATAAAATAACGCAAAATCAATAGACAATAAACGTATCGACAAACGTATTTAAAATTTTCACTGCGACTTGAAGATAAATGCAAGCCTTAATTACACGCGACTAATAAAAGAAAATAAATTATTTTAAATGC